GCGCAGAGCACGTCGGTCTTCCTGGTAGGGAACAAAAAAGACCTGGGCGCCCAGCAGAGGAAGACGCCCAGGGCCGACGCCGAAAAGTATGCCGAGGAGGCGCCCTGACCGGGAGGAGCGAGGAGGAAGATCGGCGGCGCGCACAAGCTCTGGCGGCTCGGCGGCCTCGGGAGGAGGAAGCTGCAGGGGGGGGGAGGGGCACGCCCCGGGGAGCAGAGACTGGACGCACGTCCAGGGCCACCTGCTGCGCCGCTGCTCTTCCGCTGCGCGCGCCCAGGATGGGCGCGGGCAGCTTCGGCGCACGTATGTGTGTACAGTCAGCTCCCTCCCGGATCAGGTTCGAGAGGGCGTTCTTCTTCGACTGCACAGTCGAGAGGCAGCGTTGTGGGGCCGCGCGAGCGTGCCGCCGCCTAGGCGATGGCGCCAGGCGTCGGATGCCCGTGTGCCAGCTTTCAGAGGCTTGTCACGTCCAACGGTTGGTCAGTGCGGGGGCACGTCGCGTTTTGTGTTCCAGCTTTCTGGCGGATTGAAGTTTTCAATTTGGGCGTGCTTCCTTGTATTTCAGCCTCCATGGGGCCGTTGTCGGCTACCTGACCAATGAAAATTTGTGTGTATGACGAGGATCACGGGCAGAAGCTGAGAATACATCAGAAGCCCTGAGTAAAAGGAGTGGGTGAAGCGGCCAAATCATTTGCACTGGATGTGGAGCGTTTCCGTGTTTCTCAGCAGGCTCGCATTTTTACGTGTTCGGCGATTGCCAAGAGACCAGGATATGATTGTTTATTGCATGTGTCTAAATCGTCAGGGACTGGCATTTTGAGGGGATCCGCATACATGCATGGAGTATGCGACGGATTGGCGGCAGATCTGTCATTGGAGGTGGTATCAAGGATGTCTGGCCAAACTCTCGGATGTCTGCATGATGTCCGCCTCGCTTTGTTTAGCGTGACCGCGCACCACCTCAAGGACGGGAATGGTCATTTTTTGCAGCGGCCGTGATTCCGCAACGCTCTGGTTTGTGGATCGAGCGATTGGTATCACAAGTTCTACCGATGTCCGATCAGGAGACAGAGGTGCGGCAGGAGAGATGTTCACGTGAGTCGTGAGGGGGATAGAAAGAGAGGATAGGAGAGAGTGAGAGAGGGGGAGAGAGGGACAGGGATGGAGGAAACATGTGTATATATATATATGTGTAGTAGGAGAGACACAGAGAGAGAGAGAGAGAATTATCCACTGACGTACCCAACCGTTTTCTGACACGGGGCAGTTATTGGAATGGCCTCCGGCCAGTACCGCCGATCCGGTCCGGTGGCGTTTCTGTTTCTTGCGTTTTTCCATTTTTCTCTTTTCTTCTCCTGCTTGCGTGTCCCATGTTCGCATTGCGGTATTTGTCCCCGCCCCTTCCAAACCTGAATGGGGGCAGCCCCCCCTTCCCCAGCAGAGCCAACCCGGCACCCCCCAAACTCCCTCTAAATCTGATTGGGACAGTCCCCCCCCCCTTCCACGGCAGAGCCACCCCGGCACACCCCAAACTCCCTCCAAACCTGAATGGGAGCAGCCCCCCCCCCTTCCCCAGCAGAGCCACCCTGGCACCCCCCAAACTCACACGCCGGATCACGTACCCAACCCTTTTCTGATACGGGGCAGTTATATTAAGGACCGTTAAACACAAACGAACATGATGAAAGACGCGCACTTCGCAGCCCCCAGAGAGCCACAAGGTCTAGGCTGGGTCCGCATGGACCTCCACTCCGCTTGACCTCCCAGGAGCCTACGAAATGGAGGCCAGTTGCAGGGATCAGTTCGATTCCTCCGATTCGATTCGATTCGATTTCGATGGCTTCCGATTCCGATTCGATTCGACTTGGGATTCCGATTTGGGCTCCGATTCCTTAACTCCCATTCCTCCCAGCAGCCCACGAAAGTCGCGACAGTTGCGCGGTTCGCAACCCCGCAGGGAGCAGCGAGGTCTCGGCAGGTCCGCGTGGACTTGCAATCCGTTGGAAGTTCCAGGAGCCCACGCAAGTGGCGACAGTTGCACCGCGAGGTCTCGGCAGGTCCGCGCGGACTTCCATTCCGTTGGACTCAGCGAGGTTTCGGCAGGTCCGCCATGAGCCGCGAGGTCTCGGCAGGTCCGCGTGGGCTTCCACACCGCTGGACCTCCCATGAGCCCACGAACGTGGCGACAGCTGCGTGGTTCGCAGACCCCCAGGGAAACGGGAGGTCTCGGCCGGGTCCGCGTGGACTTCCATGCCATTGGCTTTCCCAGGATCCCACGAGAGCGGCGGCCGCTGCGCGGTTCGCAGCTCCCCAGGGAGCCGCGAGGTCGTGGCAGGTCCGCATAGATTCCCACTCCTCTGGATTTCCCCTTGGCATCGCTCGGACGTGTGAATTTTTTCTCGGCGAGAACCATCGAGGACCATCCTGGACCATCGAGCAAAAAGGACACGCACGAAACCGAAAAGTGCATGGGAAATGGACGTCAGAGCGACGGCAAGTCCTGGGAGCCCACGACAGCGGCGACGGGTGCGCGGTTCGCAGCTCCCCGCGGGGCCCGCGCCAGGTGTCGCCACGTCCGCGTGGCTTTCCATGCCGTTGAATCTCCCAGGAAGCCCACGACAGCGGCGACAATTGCGCGATTCGCAGCCCCGCAGGGAGCTGCGAGGTCTCGACGAGGGAAAGGAGTGCTTGACAGGGACGGGGAGGAGGGCGGGGAGTGGACGAAGGGAAGGCGAGGAGGAGGGAGGAAGGGAGGAGGAGAAGGTGGGAGCCACACTGCTCTGTTGAAAGCGAGAACCCAACCGAGGGAAGGTTGGGAAAAGGCAGGAGGCGGGAGGCAGGAGGGGGGGGGAGGGAGACCCGACCACAGTGCTTCACTCAAAAGGAGAGCCCAACACAGGAAGAGGCAGAGGAGGCAGGAGAGAGGCAGAGGACGCAGGAGAGAGCAGGAGGGGGAAGGAGAGGCGAGGAGTGGAGACCACAGTGATATATTTCAAACGAGAACCCAACACAGGAAGGTTGGGGGTTGGGGGAAAAAAGGTGCGTATATATATATATATATATACACCGCATAGACCACCCTTCGGGTGATAAGGAGGTGAGGGGGGGAGGGACCACCGTCGCACTCGATCGATATCACTATCGATCTCACTATCGATATCATTATCGATCTCATTATCGATCTCACAACCGATCTCACAATCGATCTCACTATCGATCTCACATTCGGTCTCACTATCGATCTCACTATCGACATCACAACCGATCTCACAATCGATCGCACATTCGGTCCCACTATCGATCTCACTATCGATATCACTATCGATCACATTCGATCGATCTCACAATCGATCTCACATTCGGTCTCAGTATCGATCTTACTATCGATATCACAATCGATCTCACAATCGATCTGACTATCGATCTCACTATCGAACTCACTATCGAAGTCATTATCGATCTCTCGTTCGGTCTCACTATCGATCTCACTATCGATATCACTATCAATCTCACAATGGATCTCACATTCGGTCTCACTATCGATCTCCCTATCGAGGCCGCGCCTCAGCCACACGGGACACCAGCGGGACACCGGCGGGACACCGCGGGCCCCCGGCCGCCCGGAAGGGAGTCATTTGGTCCGGCCGCGCCTCAGCCACAGGAGACTTTCTCTCGCCCGCCCACGCAGCTTCGCCTCGCCCGCACGGCACGCACGAACACGAAACCGAAATCGATTTCCCGGTAGGGGGGCTCTCCGTTCCACTTCGATCTCACCCCCTCACCTCCGATATATATATATATATATATATATATATTGAGAGAGAGAGAGAGAGAGAGAGAGAGAGAGACAATAACGAAAAGAGGGAATACACGCACAAACATAAATTTCTTCCCACGCGCCGCTGACTCCGAACGACGGGCACATGGTGATCGCACGCGCTTGTCACAAATGCGCCGCCCCAGCGAGGCGGCGCGGCAAGTATGTAGGCCTGGGGACCGCACGCAGGCGCCACCGAGACAGGAAAGCATCGGCGGCGCATGGAACGGAGGCGCGATCGAGGAGACAGGAGGAGGAAGCAGGAGGAGGAGAAGGAGGAGGAGAAGAAAGAGGAGAAGAAAGAGGAGAAGAAAGAGGTGGAGGAGGAGGAGGAGGAGGAGCAGGAGCAGGAGCAGGAGCAGGAGCAGGAGGTGAAGGCGCAGAACCCACAGCCGGCACGATCGAGGAGACAGGAGGAGGAGAAGGAGGAGGGGCAGGAGCGGGAGGGGGCACCGCAAAAAACGGCGCCGGGCAGTCGTGCGGGGAAGGAGGGGCGGGGACGGGGAGGGGGCTGTTGAGCCGGCTGCGCAGAGCACCCTCTGGCGCGAGCAGCAGGTGAGAGTGCGAATTGCGATCGAGCATGGTCGATTGCACGGTGTACAGAACGTGCACATTGTCAATGCAGCGATGGGTGGTGTGAAGGAGGAGCTGTAAGTCCAAACGAACAGTGTGTGTGTGTGTGTCCCCTCCCCCCCAGGGAGGGGACACTTTTTTTGATCTGCAGGGCGAGAGCGAGCCTCTTCCGCTAAAAGCTCCGCGGGACGCGCGCGGCTTTGATTGACAGGGAGGGGGGCGCGGGAGGGGACACACGCACACGCACGAACAGGCAAAACAAGTTGGAGGGAATAAGTAGAAGTAGTGGATGGCATGCGAGTGGGAGAGAGGAGGGAGTAGAGTCGCGGAGAAGAAATGCAGAATTGGAGAGATTTGTAGACAGCACGGCCACATGAGGCGAATCTCATGTACATGGAGACCTCCGCCAAGACCGGGGACCCGATTGGGTTGAAAATGCAGCTGGGCCCAGGTATTGTTGCCGAGATTCTGATGAAATGTCACCAGCGTGCGGGGTGCAGCAGGCCTTTCAGCGGGCATCCTCGGTTTTGCCTCCAGCCAGGCCTGAGATGTTACCAGTTGCATTGTTCTTCATATGATTGTCCAGTCTCGTTTTTAGTTCTCTATCCAACTCCACCCCACTTAGGGCAGTCAGCAAATGCAGAATTTTGCCGTCCAGTATAGTTTCTGGTGCAACTACCGATTTGTCCCTACCACGGTTGCCAACAAGTCACAGCATGGCATGAGCAGTCGGGCATTTTTTTTCTATCGCGGTTGATCGAAGGCAGCTTTTGATGCGGCCTACGAAGCAAAGCGAAATCCCGCCCTATTTTGCGAGGGCCCCGTGATCATGAATCATCCGATTGGCCCTGGTCTGAAAGTACAGAGCCAAGCCATTGGGATGAGAGGGAGGGAGACTGGAACCAGGGGGGGCAAAGGGGCAGGATGATAAGCAGGATAAGATGGAGGGCGAGGAAGGGACGAGGAGGAGGAGGAGAAAGCCAGTGAGAAGATGAGGTGGATGAGAAGGTGGATGAGGATCAAGAGGAGCAGGAGCAGAGGTATCTAGGGCCCATGTGTAAGGAGAGAGCGATGGTACAGAGGAATAATGGCAGACGGAGGGGGATAAATGCGACTACGGAGTAGGCAGAGGAGGAGAATGGGAATGAGGAGGGGAGGGAGAAAGGAGAAGAGGCAGGATGATGGGGAGTTCAGGCTCGGAAGTATTTCTCCCAGCGCCGCACATCGGCCCCAACAACATCCGCAAGACAAATGTAGGCTTCTGCGCCCAAGCCCGTCCGCATCAGCGGGCGCGCGGTCCAAACGTTCCCCCCCATAGAATTCTAGACGGGTTTATGTCTGCGGGGGGGCGCGGTGCCTTGGGGTGGTCCACTCCTTTCTTAAGTCGATGTTTTTTTTTCTGGAGAGTGGATGGACCCTGGTTTGGACGATTCTGCTTGGGGCCTCCTCAAAATCTGTCTGCCTGGTTTGGCCCCTGGTTTGGCTGCGCGCCCAGCCTGGGATGTCCTCAAACGTTGCCTGGTGTGGCCCATGGTTTGGTTTGGTTTGGGCCCAGTTTCGCTTGAGACGTCCTCAGATCTGCACGAACGAAATGGGCACGGAAAGAATGGGTACACTGCCCAACAGCGGATCTTGTTCATTTTGAACAGGACTCGCTGTCCACGCCGCCGCGGCCTGTGTCCATTCGAGACAGAAGGCCGCCTGCATTTCGGGCGTCCAAATCAGAGCTTGCTTGGTGTGGCCTTGGTCTGGCCTCGCTTGGGCCTGGTGTCGTTCGAGACGTCCTCGACATGTACCCGGTTTCGCTTTGGTGTAGCCAGGATTGGGTCCCGTTTCGCTTGAGACGTCCTCGCGTGTTGCTTGTTTTGGCAATGGTTGGGCACTATTTCGGCCCAGTTTCGCTTGAGGCGCCTTCAGAGTTTCCTTGCGTTCTTCTTCGTTTGGCTTGGCTTCGGTACCACGAAGCCTTCACGAGGCTCGCAGAAGGAAAGCTCAGCGAATGTCTATACCGTTGGGCAGCGTCTGTTATGGTCGCCATGCGGTCTCAACACACCGTGGGATGCGAAAGGTGAATTGACACACACTTCGTGGTAGCCGTGGTCCAACCGAAGTAGTGGCACGGTGTTCAAACCGAAGCAGTGGCGCGGCGTCATGAGTACCCACTGTGGTCCACGTGTAACGCGACTGCGCCACAAGATGGCGGGATGTATGGGTGTGGACATTCCCAGCACGCTGTGGATCGGCATGGGCGTGCGTGGCAGCGTTAGGAGAAAACCTTTTCGAGCCTGTAGTGTTTAGGAGGAGGAGAAGCGAGGGAGGACGAGGGACCAGAAGGATGGAAGGACCAGAGGCGACGAGGGAGGGAGAAGGGGAGAGAATAGGGGAGAGGAGGACGAAGGGGGACTAGGAATGAAGAGGAGGAGGAGGAGGAGGGAGGTTGGAAAAGGGAGAGGGGCAGTAAAGATAGCAAGAGGATCATAAGGCGAAAGAAGCAAGGAGGAGGAGGAGGAGGAGGAAGAGGGAGGAGGAAGAAGAAGAGATGGATGAGTAGGAGGACGAGGACGAGGACGAGGATGGACGGAGGCGGGGAGGGGCAGGAAGAGGAGAGGGAGAGTGGTGAAGAGGACGGCGAGCATCAGGAGGAGGAGGAGGAGGAGGAGGAGCAGGAAGTTGAGGAGGAGGAGGAGGAGGAGAAGGAGGAGGAGGAGCAGCAGCAGGAAGTTGATGAGGAAATGGGGTAGAAGAGTAGAATATGGAGGAGATATCGTTAAATGATTCGAGGGGAGGGGAGGGATGGGGGGAGGAGGGAGCAGGAAATAGATGAGGAGGGGGAACGCGAGCAGCAGCAGTAGCAGCAGCAGCGGCAGCAGCAGCAGCGGCAGCAGCATGGGAGACGGAGCAGGGAGAGGAAAGAACGACAATTAGGGCGGCTACGGTGCCATTGGCGACGGCGATGGCAACGACAATGACGACGACGACGCTGGCGACGGCCAGGGGAAGAGAGCCCATTTCTCCTCTTCCGCTTTCCCCTCATTCAAAGTATTATAGACGCGCGCGGAACACCGCTGTGCCTGCGCTAAGGAGAACGTGGACGCCACCTTCCGGAAGGTCGCCATGGAGTTGAGAAGAGTACAGCGAGAGGAGCCACAAGCAGGCCGCTTGAAGGGGAATTTGTAGCAGTAGCCACGAGCATCACTCCAGCAAAACACCCGAACATCAGGAACGAGGGAAGTCCGATGGCCACGAAGAACGAGCCATCTGTCTTCGCAGTTCGCTGGGCCACGGACAAGATGAATTGCCATGCAGAAAGGGAGCGTGTCCTAGACCTTCGGGCTTCGCCAAGGATCAGATCTTCATCCTGCTGGGGATCCCTCTGAGGCCGCCCGGGGGCATCTGAGGGCCTCGTGGGGCCTCTCGGGTGCATGTTACTTGATTTATGGAGCCATCTTGGAGGGGAGTGCTCCAGGAACCTCTTCGAGCTCCTCTCTTGGACGCTTGTTGGGGTTCTTTTTGGGGCCTCTTGGGCCGTCTTGGGGCACAATTGGGCCGTCTTGGAGCTTCTCTTGGCAGGGTAGGTTGCCGTCCTGGGCAGGTCTGGAGGGCCCCTTGGGCCGTTTGGGGTTTTCGGAAGCCCGAAAAGGCGAGAGAAACGGACATGTCATCGGTCGTCGCCGGCAGCGACAGGTCATCGGTCGTCGCCGTCGGCGTCGGCGCCCCCTGAGATCCGGCGGCGCGAATCGCAACACCGCGGAAAACCACGCCCCATCGCACCGCAGCAGTTCCCAGACCAGGCCGACCCGCGGGGGCCCCCCGGGGGTCCCAAAACACCGAGTGAGAATTCTCAGGGAGGCAGAAGTGCTACAATCCCGAGGTCCGTGGGTCGTCGACGGCGCCATCGTCGTCGGCGCGTCGTTGTCGTCGGCGTCGGAATCGGCGTCGTCGGCGTCGGCGTCGTCGGCGGCGTCGGCGTTGTCGGCGGCGTCGTCGGCGTCGTCGTCGGCGTCGTCGTCGGCGTCGTCGTCCGATCGAGGCAGCGGAGCGCGCGCGGCCCTGCTGGCTCCGGCGGCGGGCCCCGGGCTGCTCAAGCGGGCGGGCTGTTGCGGCTGACGTTGTGGCCGGCGCGGCCGGGCCCGGGCAGGCGGTGTCGGTGTCGTTCTTTTCTTTGTTCGTCCTCCTGCTCCTCCTCATCCTCCTCCTCCTCCTCCTCCCCCTCCTCCTCCTCTTCCTCCTCCTCCTCCTCCGCCTCCTCCGCCTCCTCCTCCTCCTCGTCCAAGAGGGGGGGATGACTAGGCGGGGTGGATATCATGGCGGGGGCCATGATCTCTCCCCAGATTTCATGGCGCATCGCCAAATTTCAAGACGTCCGCGGCCCCCCCCTGGGCCACGCACATGCCGCCGGCCATGATTTGCACCCCCCCTCTTGGACACCCCCTCTTGGCCGCCGCCGATCTTTGTTCGTCCTCCTTCGTCCTCAGTCCTCCCTCCCTCCCCCTACTCTCGGAGGGTGAATTGCCTACCCTGGTTTTGCTCCCAAGCAAAACCAAGTCGCACCACTCGTCCCCTCGTCGAGCAGCCTGACATTTGCAGACCACCCCACGGGTAGGTCGGTCTTGTTCGGCTCCCGTTTGGAAGCGAGGGGGGTTAAAAAGCGAGGCAAGTCCGTTGGCTTCTTGCATTCCCTCCTCCTCGTCCTGCTCCTACTCATCCTCCCTACTGATCCCTCCCCTCCATCGTCCTTCCTGACGTCGCCATGAAGGAACGGCGTCCTGGAGGAGACGAGCCACAGTATTTTTTGCTTTCTGGGGTCGAACGTCCCTCCTTACATTTCGGGAGCGTCATCATTCGTAATGAGAACTTGGTTCTTGGGGAAGTGAGCCAGCGTTATTCGGGCAATCCCTCGAGGGAAGCAAAAGTTTTGACTATCTTCCTTGCTCTCACCGTCCTCTCCTCGTGTTCCTCCTCCCTCCCCCCCTCCCTCCCACCCTCCTCCTCCTCCGCGCTCTTATCTGCTCGCGTGTCATTCAGTATGCATATCCCAAGCCCTGGATACCCGCCCTCTTCGTCTTCGATTGTACCCCCTTTTGGGGGGTAGATTCATTCCCCGCCACGTGTGGTTGGTGAAGCCCTTGAAGACGAAGGGTAACAGATAACGGAGGAGAATGAGGACGAAGGGATCGGAGGAAGGGAGGGGAGGGGCAAAAAGGAGGGAGGACGACGATTTGCGCTGTGAGTGGCGATTCAGCTTGCGTCATGGCTTGCGCCAGCCACTCCAACACAGGTCAACAATAAGTTTCGCCGTGTGTCGCGCCATACACAGCGCCACGTACCACCCCCTTGAAAGAACAGATCGTGGATACCCTCACGGCGGGACGTACAGCTGCGAACTGGTGTCAGAAACAAATTTCGTGGAACCCTGAAAAGAAGCGGGATGTTGGGAGAGTGGGGCGGAAGGATAGTGAGAACTGCAACCGTGTCGGGAGGAGCTCGGGAGCCCCAAGTGAGAGCGCGATTCTTCAATAAGTTGTGAGGAAGTATCAGGTGGGAACCGATGTTGTTGTTGTAAGCCGGGGGCCAACAACACAGTTTGACCTTCAAGACTTTCCTTGATTAAAAAACAGGGTGCGAGCCCCGGGAAAGGCACTTCAATCGAAAAAAACAATGTGCGCCGGAAGGGGGGATCAACAATAGTCATTTTTTCAGAAATGAGAGTTCAACAACAACAACAACAAAAACAAAAACATGGCCACCCTGGGCGGCCAGCGTCACCTCCTGGCAAGACCCGGCGCACGGCGTCCTCCAAACCCAC